TGTTTTATTATTTTTCCAACTTTCCATTCCACAGTCAAAGGATGCTTTCACTTATCAACTAAATTTGTATAGTAATTTTACTAATGCAAGGCCTTTATTTCGGTTGAGTTAAAATCTTGAACTTCACCTTCTTATATACTATAATTTGTAGTTTATTCTCAAGTTTTAAACACAAAGTGATTTAGTTTCTAATTTAGTGTGTAATTAAAATATCAGTGAAAATAATTATGTATCATTGTTATTGCATGGCTCATTATTCTTCTAATGTCATTGTATAATATGTTCTTATAGACAACATTGATGGTGTAGGACCATTTCTAATTAAGTACATCTTTTTTGAGATACCCAATAACTTCTTCAAATTACCCTTAAAATTCTAGAATTAAAGTCATTTTTATACTTTAATGAGTTTTGATTTTGTTAAATATTAAAAAGGGTATCTTTTATTATAATGAACTTTGGATTAATAAATCTTTCCAAATTCAACTAATTGAGTTATATTTTATTTTGTCTTGTGTTTTATTTAGGCATTAAAAATCTGTAAGAAAAATGGGGAAAAAAAAGAAGAGTAGCAATTGTTGAACTTCCGACAAAGTTTGAAAGAGAAAATAATAAATAAAACAAAAAAGTATTTTGGATATTTAATTAACATCAATAAAATCATATAGTCAATGATGTTGACACAAATAAAATATGTCTTCGTAATTTTAATATTAAAAATTTGTTTGAAATTGATATATTTGGAGGTTCAAATAGAATATTCAGAATATTTATAATATATATTAAAAATGTTGGGGACAGGACTCGATGGCCCAACAGATAAGTCGCTTGTCCACGGAAGCAGGGATTCTGGATTCGATTCCCTGTGGAGTCGCTACTCGGTTATCGCGTTCCATAATAAATTATCTCTTTTTTTTTCAGTAGGAAATTCTGGTCCAAAATATCGAGTCTGCTTCCAAACTGCTTCCATTTTCTCGTCCCCTGATCCCCTACTTTTTTCTATTTCACCATTAGCCTGTGCCACTCAACTCTCCAGATAATAGCTCAGCATAGAAGATGAAAAACATGGGGGTATTTCCTGCCCCTAGGCTGCAGCCTTCAGGACTTTTCTTAATTATTACAAAATTAATGGAACTTACCAAAAATTACAAAAATAAGATAAATAAATAAACAAGTGGAAATATTGTTAAATAGCATAGAAAATTATGAGAAAGTGAGATACATGTCAAAATATGAAAAACTTAATTTATTTGGTGAGAGACATTAATTGTTAGTTGAGAATAATTTTTTTTCAGGCATGAGTTGTTCTCTCACTGTACGAAAAATTATGAAAATTAGAGTTTGTGGGAGAATAAGAGTAAAGTTGTCGATAGATTAGATTTGGACCAAATTAACGTAGATTTGAATTCGAGCCAAGATCGTGTAGGATATATATTTAGTATTACCATATCCAAATTCAAATAAAATTCGATATCTGAAACAAATATTTGAATCCAAATTGTTAAATTATCATACATTTATTATTTTATATTTATAAAAGAAAATTCAAAACTAAAATAAGAAATTCTTAAAAAATAAGCTGATAAATAATTTTAGAGTTTAGAAATATAACATAGTTACATTTGATCCATTACAAATGTTGCATTTGAAACTAGTTTATAGGTAATATATAACAATTACGTTTAATCCATAAATTTACATATTTTCCTTTTTTGTTTATATAAAAAATAAAAAAATATTTCTAATTCTAATTTTAAGAAAAATAATTTTTTAATTAAAATATGATAAATCAAGTTTATATTGTTGTGTGTGTGTAGAGAAGGGATCAATTGACACCCGTGTAAATGTAAAAAATTTACACCAAATCTTACACCGTTAATTTGGTTAAAACCAATGGATGAGATTAATTATACTTGATTTAAATACAAATTAATTATTAGAAGTTATTAGAAGATAGCTGTAATTAATTTCATCCGTTGATTTTGACCAAATCAATGGTATAAGATTTGGTATAAGTTTTTTACACTTACATTGGGTGTCAATTGATCCCTTATCATATATGCATGTATAAAAGTTTATATCATATTATATATCATATATATTATTTGTATACAATATACATATGTGTGTGTGTGTATATACACACAATATACAAATTATTTATATACAATATATGTGTGTGTGTGTGCACGCACGCGCGCATGTGTATATTTGAATTCAAATCTTTAACATAGCCATGTCACAGTTCTAGTTCAGACCATGAACCAGTTCAGACTAATAATATCCAATCTGGTTTGATTCTGAATCGTAAAGATTCGCGTCCGGTTATGATTTAAATTTTTTTGAATCAGAACCGAAAGCGGGAACGAACCGGGAATGAACTATGAACCATAAAAAAATAAATATATAAATCTAATAAAATCCTAATCAAATTTCTTCCATTCTTGTTTCTAAAGGGAGAATCATAATATATATATATATATATAATAACTTCATGTCAAACGGGATTGGTTGACTTAATACATTGGATATTCAAAATACGTTAAAAATCATAATTTTTTTAAAAATAACATTTTAATATTTATTATAAAATTTCTTCTATTTTTTTAGATATTGATATATGCCTAAACCAAACTTAAGGGGATGTTTGGTTCCCTAGTGCACTTAAATTTTCAATTCTTTCCAATATAGAATAATAATTTTTATTTTTTTATGATACTCCATTACTTTAAAAATAAATTTAATATTTTTAAAATAATATTTTTTCAATATTAATATCTTTAAATATGTGCAATAGTTGAGAAATATTTTATATCCGTTATTTAAAATAAATTTACATATTATCCTAATCCTTTTAGAATTGAGTAATTAGGAAATTTAATTTAATTTCACAAATTTAGCCATTAAAATAATTTATTTTTATCCAAAATTATTGAATATTTATTTATTCACATGGGTCACAATTGAAATATTTTTTGTGAAAGATATCTTTTAATTATTTTGTATTTATTGCCTAGAAAAGGCATGTGTTCCATTCACTAATCAATAAATTAAAGTAGCTAATATATATACATACAATAGGAAAAGTTATTTTCCAATGTTTAGTAGTTTAAATATATTGAAAAATAGATTATTTAAAATTTTTCAAATGATTTATAAGTTAATAAATAAATATTTTTGGCAACATCAAATCGAAACTAAATCGAACTGCGAACAAACTGAAATCGAGCTAAACCGTAAATGAACTAGGAACGAACCGCAAAACGAACCATGAACAAACTAGAATCGAACTGAATCGTGAACAAACCGGAAAATGAACCGTTAATAAATTAGGAATGAATCAGGAATCAGAACTGTGAACCTAACTAGCCCAGAACTGTGAACCGCTCCAAAACTAGCATAAACCATAATTGGAACTGGACCGGCCTTCAAAATTTTTAGTCCCATTTTATATGTTTTTGGGACTAGAATCGGTGGTCAAGTTCCGGCTCGGGCCACTTCAAGCCCATAAAGAGGGTTATTTTAATGGATTGAATTAAGTAAAATTCATATTCGTTCTATTTATTTTGAATTACCGACTTTTATAATCGAATCATATTAATCAATTTTTTTATCAATTAAAGGTCATAAATAATTTATATTGAATTCGAATTAAAATCTATTTCATTGAAAGCTCTAAATAAGATTCTGTAAGTATTATAACTGATCTTTTAGAACAAGCCCAGTTCCAACAATTGCAGTCACAAATTATAGATAACAATTAGTTCAATAGAAAACCCTCTCTCCCTGTTTTGCATATTTCTCTCTTCAGTAGAATTCTGTGTAATTGTAAAATTATCAACAAGACAACGTTATTGAGCCAAAAGTGTCACATTGAAGAAGTGATCTAGTAAGGAGTATCAATAAATTTTTTAGATTATACACACATCATCTAATTGTCAGATAAATATTAAATTTCAATTTCTTTATTTTCTTACCTTCAAATCATTCTCATTTCAGTTCAATGCAGATTTTCAGTTTGATCTGTCGAGCACTTTTCCTTAAGTAATTTTTATTAATTAGTTGAATTTTATACTAGATATATTCTCCTTCGTTGAGACAGTTAGCTCATTGCAACATAAATTACTCTATGTCGGGAAGTAATCATTTGATTATTTTTAGTGATTATTTGCAGGTTAAATTTTCTTTCAATCTTAGCATGCCCGCATGCCCATATTTCTTTTATGGAAGCCCCAAACTGCACCAATAAAAGTTATCTTAACTAGGTGTAATGGGGAAACCTACTACAGGATATACGGCATGTAAATTTGATGCATCTTAGCACGTAGCCTTAAAGAAACCCATTGAAAACAGAAAAAAAGTACTAGAATAATAGACTATAATTCTAGTCAGATATAAATAAAGTAATACCAGTAAATGCCGAGGGAATAGGTTAAAATACATAACAGGTGGAGTTGACTTTCTAGTCATGATTCTCAACTCTCATATGACTTCAATTACAATTGGAGTAAACCTACAATGATTCCCATAATCAAGATAGTGCGTTAGGCCCTCAACAATGTTCTTTCAGTTCTTCCAAGGAATCCATACTGATAGCAAGTCCTATCTGAAAGAAAGAATTCAAATTTGTTGCAAGTTTTGCAACTTGGATCCAAAAGAGCAACTTGGTGCCCATGAGATGTGATAAATCTGAACAAGCTGGTTCCAGTTTTTCACAGGAATAAAATTTGGATCCTTATAGGTTGGATTGCAATCAGTGATCAGAAATAAGACTGTGTTACAATTCAGATGAACATTTAAGGATCCTCTGTTCTGTACAATAGCCAGAATACGTTCTTTATCTGATGTGTCATCATCATTAAAAGCATGGATGGGGCGATGAGAACACAGAACATTGTAGCCAGTTTGAGCCCGTTAAATATCACTTCAGCTTTGTCATGTCTGATCGGTCTTAGATGCAGCTTTTAATTTCTCCAATTGCTTTCGGAGATAGGCGTGCTTCAGTTCTCCCGACGAGCCACAGCCTGCTCTTGCCTGCGCAACTTCAGCTCTGAGACTTTATCCCTTGCCTGACTTGCTTCTTCGTGAACTTCCCTGAGAGATGGAATGAGCAACGTTATCAATGGAAGTGCCATGACTGCACAGGACTTCAATCATTGTAAACATGAAAAGAATAAGTGGAAAATAAAACTAAAGAAGCAACTCTATATAATCAAAGAAAAAACAAGAATATATTTTTAAGTTTACAGACAGAAAGCAGTGCTGGCCTTTTTTCTTTTTGTTTATTTTAATTCATCAGGCAAACTAGTGTCAGATTCTATACTCAAATGGTCTATATGTAAAACGAAGTCACATGTATATTTGCAGCAGCAAAGAAAGAAGGAGAAAAACTAGATATTACCTCACATAGCGCTTATGCTCTTCATTGTCTATTGTCAAAGAAGTCCTACCCACCCTTTTCGTACCAAACAGTGTAGAAGCATCAACCTCGTCATCATCTTCTGGAGATTCTCTGTAGAAGTGTTGTCACTTTGAGGCTGTGATGAATCATCCTGTACAAGGCTTTTACGGAAAAAATCAACACAATACTTTTCTTTATCCTCTTCATCTGAAAGTTCACCTTTTACTAGTTTGTCATATAACTCAGCCTTTTTCTCCAATGCTGCATAGCTAGCTGATCCATCATTAACAGCTTTTAGCTCAAGCTTGTCCCTGGAAATGAACCAAGATAACTGATCCGGATGAGTGATCTACAGAATCTTGCATTAATATTTTGCAATGACAACTATGTAAGAGACTCTGGCAAGAAATAAGCATCTCTGCATCAAATTAGCATCTATGCATCGTAGAAGCTAAAAAATAAATTATACTAAAAAAAATCATCAAGCAATTCAATCTTACTTGAAAAAAGAAAAAGGTTGTTGAGTTTTAGTTTATTACATCACAGATAATGAGGAACAGAAAGGAACTTTTTAAAATTTTCTAGGTTTCAAATTCATGTGCAATAAATACTTTGTTAAATTTTGGCCTGTCCCCATCACAAAATGCACGAGGCATGACTTGACACATGCTTGGAACGAGGACCAACTGAGAGAGAGAGATAAAGAGAGAGGGTGAATAGCTTTTGCATTATAATTATCTGCATGAAGAAAAAGATTAAAAAAAGAACGAAGTCATAAAGTATTTTGAAGCCATAAGATAAAAGTCTTAGACAAAAAGGTACATATACAGCAGTTTAAACCTCAATTTCGAGGATTCGAAGTTCATGCACAACGTATTATTGATTTTTTAGTCCAGTTCCTTTCTGAAATATCTTTTCACCACATACGCAACAACGACGGTAATCCAGAATTTCAAAACAGAGATCTTGAATTGTATAGCAACAACTTGTTCTTTTTTATGACAAAATTCCTTTCCAAGTAAATACCCAACAAAATTTTGGAACACCATGCTTCCAGATTTATATATACCAACTAATGGTATCACTCAAACCAATTGGAAGGATCAACAGCCCTTTTAAGGTGCACATTATATAGAGCTTAACATCTGGATGTCAAAAGTCACAATCATGCTAGACCAACAACTAACCCCTTTATATCTTCGCATTGGTAGTGAATGTATCATGCCTTTAAGTGCAAACAAAAGTGTAGCATGTATCCGTGGATGCAAATGGTGAGACACATGCATTGTTTGACAAATTGGCTAGAGTCTATTAGTCTATTTTCAAAAACCACCAAACCCTATGCTAAATGATTAACTATATTTTTAAATTGGCCTCACTTGATGTAGACACAAGATTACTAAAAACTTCATAACCAAAGCGTATGCTAACTGCTTCGAGTGAAGAATGCTGGAATCCTGATGCTTTTGTTCCATTCAACATCATATTGTTTGAGTACAAAGCGTCATGGCAACAAACAACGATTAACCAGAAGATGAATTAATCATAGATGCTATTATCACACATAGTTATTGCAAAGACAAGCTAAGTTGTCTTCTATGTACAGCCGTCAACGTCTCACATATATCTGCAAAAAATTGTTGCCATAAACTAAAGCAATAGACCAAATATACATCCATAGATAGTTTGGCTGGTAATGTTATTCCACTGTTAGTTAAGTTAAAGCCACACCTCTAAATGACCTTTACAATTCACAATGCATATTACCACCTAATACTCCACACTCAAATTATGCTTCCAAAATATGAAATTTAGCTCCCTATCAAGTTAATGTAATAAATAGATAAATTTCCTACACCTCAGTCTAATCGCTACCATCTAAAGTTAATTAACATTTTTTTTTCAGTTCCTGTAATACATATGAGGATCACTTCATTATGTGACAGAGGAAAATTTAATGACTGGCATGCGAGGTTAATCAGACCAGCTTCTTATTTTTTTCCCAATTTCAATTTTGGGAAACACGTATATTATACCTAACATGATTCACTAGAAAAAGAAGAAACCCTAGTTTGAACAAAGAATTTAATAAAAAGTAACTGACAGATGATAGACTATATAATAATCATAAGGGGCGTACTTAAGAGCACGAGCCTCCACGCCGGAATTCTTGAGAGCGAGAGGGTCTCGAGGGGCAATTTTTTTCTTGGCGCGCTGGTATCCGATCTGGTCGGAGGCGTGGGAGAGTTCCTTGGAACGTTTGGACTCTTCTTGCGACTTGTAGAGCTCGCCTTGAGCTCGAGGATCGAGGAGGCACCCACGCCAGCGATAGCGCGGTGCTTCTTCGGCATGATGGAGGACTCCGTCAGCCATCCGAGGGACTCCACCACCACCCTCTTTTTCTTCCCCCCTTCCTCCTGTTCCCCCATTTCCTCCCTCTGGAAAATGATGGACAGAGAAAAACAGCAGTAATTGGGGCCTGTATAGTTGTATATCTGATGGGTCTTTGTGCTTCTTCTCGAACTGATTGATGATTGATGGACGGTTAATCGGAATTTTGCGGGCTCCTCTTCCGGGCGGTGGGAGACACAGATCCTCTCTCTTCTCCTACAGAAATGTGCAACGCCAATTTATAGTCCTCGCATTTGCAAGGGCACAGGAGTAAGGCACATTTTAATTTTGCAACAACGAGATTGTAAAAAAGAAAATTGATGCTAAAAACTTTGAAGTGGTTTTTGAAAGGATTAGTTAGTCCCCTAACTTATTTAATTTAATTTCTTTAATTACGCAATTTTGATGTAGAAAAAATATCATCTCTCAATTTCAACACTGTACCAAATATAACTTTTATATTAATTTAATTCGTAACTTGAAACTCGAATTTTATTTTTATTTTTCATAAGATATATTATATAAATATGTTTTATAAAAGTAAAATAAATTTGCTATCTTATAAAATTAAAATATTTATTGTACTCAAAAAATAGAAACTATTAAAACTATTGGTTTTTTTTTTATTTTAAATTAAATATTTGATTTAACAGGCAAGAAGTTAAAAATTTTTATAAATTAAAAAAAATCTAAATATAGAGAACTTAATTTTACAATTTTTTTATTTTTTTAAAAGTTTTATTGTACATTTTGCTTATTTTAACACAAAAATGGAGCATACTATATAGAGAAAGAAATTACTAAAGGGCATTTTTTATTTACAAATAAATATTTATGGGGTAACCAAATAAAAATAATTCCACTTTTCCTTGTAAAGAAAAAAATTAGTGAAATCAAATTATCAAGTAGTTAAGTTTTTAAATTTTTTTTATTTTTAATTTTCTTCAAGTAGAAGCAAGTAGGCTAAAAAGCTAAAAATAAGAGATCTAATTCATTTTGATGATTATTTTTTTGGCTAGCTTTATTGGATGGCTAAACCTGAATTGACGTCTCTGGTGTCGGAATTGAACCCAAAAAGCTTACTCTAAGCCATAGAATGCGCTGTGTGTCAGGAAGAAACTGGGAATCCTTGCAAAAGTCAGCCAAAACACATTCCAAATCCAATCAACTTCTTATTTTCTCTTTCTCAATCCACAGAATTTGACGAAATTTCCATTACTAGAAACAGTCCAAACAACCAGCAATATTACAAACCTTAACCGGAAAACTTCGAGAAAAACCATTTTGGAGCCAGAACACACAAAATCATGACAGCAACAAAGTTGAAGGAAAGAAAATAGAAGGGTTTGTGCTACTATTATGATGAACCATACGGTGTGGGACATCACTGTGAAAGGAGAGGATCTCAGTTACCGATTATTGAAGTTTTTAACGATGAAAAACAAAAAATGAGCTAGAAAGTTGCAATGATGAAGAAAATACAGATGAACTTGTGATTTATTACATGCCTTATTAGCTGGAATTCAGGCATATCAAACCATGAGTCACAAGTGTTGTGAGCAAAATACGAACAGAAAAATTACAGTACTTATTATACTTATTATGTACATGTATAATATAAATTTTTTTTATAAAAATTAATTTTTATTTTTATTCAACACAAATTACAAGTTCATTAAAAATTACGTTATATAAAGAATATAAATTATATATAAATAATTTTAAAAAATAGAACAAAAAATTATTATTTTACTTATTTTATTTGATTTTATATAAATACATTTTTCACATATTAATCACATTTTCTTTCAAGACGTATAATGATATATAAATAACTATGTTAATATATAATTTTGTATTGTTAAATGATATAAATTATTAATAACTAGAAAAAGATCGAGTGAAATTATGTACGACTGATATACCAAATTAATTTTAAAGTATGCAAATATATCAAAATTTAAACTACAAATCTTGATTAAAAACATCAATTATTAACAATAATAATCAAAAATACCAAATAATTTTTGACAATTCAGCATAATGAGTATATCAAATATTTTCAAAATGAAATGTTCATCCAACTCAGATTATTTTTGCTAATAATATTAGTAGTAACTTCCTATCTTTCAAATATCAAATTTTGTGGATTCATAAGTAACGTAATCTAAAAAGCAACTAAAATTATTCAAGTCAATAGATTTCATATCATTCTTCTAAATTAAAAAATTTCTCTACTGCTATTGTATTTATCCTCATATACCCGAGATTGTCAAGTATTTTTTTGTGATAATTGATTTTTTTTTATTTATATAACTTCAAAAATACTTTAATTTCTTTCACATAATATAAAGTTATATAACTAATAAAATTTGAAAGATATTATTTTTTAATATTGACAAAAGATCTCTACAATAGTCCTACCAAACTCTAATAATAATGAATTATAATTATGTACAGAAAATATTATTTACATATAATCTATGTTCGTAACGCCTATAACATAAAAGACATGCATCTTACCAAATCTTTCGTAAAAATACAAGATTGGATAATTTTTTTTAAAATTATGTACGATGAATTATTATTCAAGTACAATATACATTTTTACCAACTAGGGTCACAGGGCAATATGGAACAAAAAATCCTTGCACAAATTAATTGATAGTGGCAGCACCCATACTTTTTTAGATGTTTCTTTAGAAGCTAAGTTTAGGTGTAAAATAAATTCAGCCGTCTCAATTAGTAGTAGCAGCTGACGGGAACAAGATGCTAGTTACTTATAGGCGTAAAGACTTTAAATGGAAGACGCAAAACAACATATTTGTGGCAGATACTTCTTCGGTTAGGAAGCTGTGATACGGTTGTGAGAGTTCAATGGTTTGTCTACCCTTGGCCGATTTTATGAATTTTAAGCTAATGGGGGTCAAACATATTTTGAGAGGGCCGTTATACAGAAGATTTAAACTACTAGTGGCAAGCAGATGCAGAAAATGTTCAACTCAACTTTGTATGTTGCTAATTTGTAATAATAATAACAAAGAATCAGTATTTTCAGAGACCACATCAGTAGAGAATAGTGGTGCATTTCCCAGTGGAATTGGAATCATCTAATCCTTCTCTTTTGCAGTTGCTAGAAGAATTTGATGACCCATTTTTTGGAGCCTTAAGGCTCACCAACATTTAAGGGTTGTTGTAATCATAAAATTCCTCTTAAAGAAGGGACTGTGGCTGTCAATATCAGACCATACAGGTATCCACTAAGACAAAAAGATATTATTAAAAAATTGATACAAGAAATACTTCATAAGGATATAATCAATAAAGTCCAGTCCTTTTGCTTCTCTTGTGGTATAAGTGGGAAAGAGTTATGGAAGTTGGAGATCATGTATGGATTATTGGAAATTAAATAAAAAATATCATAAAAAATTAAATTTCAATGCCTGTAGTGGGAGAACTGAACGATGAACTGGGAGGAGATACAACTTTTAAAAATAAATTTGAGAACCCGGGTATGATCAGATCAGAATGTGTAATATGATGTGTAAAAAGTTGCTTTGAAAAACATCCAGGCCATTATGAATTTTTTGTTATGCATTTGGTTTAATGAATGCACCTTCTTCATTTGAAGGATTGATGAATCACGTCTAAAGCTTTTTTGAGGAAGTTTGTACTTGTTTTTCATGATGATATTCTGATTTATATTTGGGACATGGAAAGAACTTATCAAACATTTGCAACTGTCATTTCTGCATTGATTAGAGAATACGATGTCTGCAAAAAGGGCAAATGTTCCTTTGGAATTTCTAAGGTTGAATATTTGGGGCAC